GGTCGTGCAGAGGAGGAGGGCGCTGCTGAGGGCAGCGCCATAGCCCAGCCACCATAGCTGGTGGGCTTGGACTACAGTGAAGCGCAGGGGTGGTCTTTGGGTGAAAGAGAGGACAGGTGTGGGTGATAGTCAGGGGATAGGTGAAGGATTATGATGATGATGGTGATGTGAGGGCACTTACCTTGTATTGGCGATGATCTGCATGGGCGACATCTTATAGTACTTCGGGCTGCCGCTGATGTCAACAGTTGCATTGTCTCTTTGTAGTCTGTAGTAGCTGTGTAGGAGTAGGCTGGGCGCTGAGCGCCAAGTGTGAGTGTGAAGGAACTGGACTCTTGTATTGGGAGGAGAGAGTATGCTCTCCATGAACATTGGTTTTCAGTGCTACGAACCTCCATTGGTGTATTATTGGTGCAATGCTGCTCTCTGGACACGGTGTGACTATTTGGCTTTCAATGTGATGGTGTGATCTGGAATTGTCATCTCGCTGTTACTTATTTTCCTTGCAATTTGGTATCGGAGCCGGTTCATATTGCGCTTCATTGGTTCTTCGCAATAGCTATTGGTGCTTCGCATGAGGTGTGGGGCAGTGATAAGGCATTGGCGTTGAACATCAGGCGGCCCAGGGTAGTGTGGGCGCGCCAGGAAGCTATGTGGTGACGTACGGGATGTATGCTGGATGATGAGAACTCGCTGATGTGGCATATTAAGCCAAGGTGGAACCACATTCTGCCGTTGGTTGTGCTGAGGCAAGGACCGGTCATCATAATTGCACATCAGGTTACCGGTGAGAAATCTGTGGTTCGGGGCAGCATTTATGAGGTATGTTGCTCTCTTCCTTATCTACCCTCTTCATCTCTTCTTACCGTGAGGAAGTGAGTTTTGTCTTGAGAGTCCTCTCGATGTGAGGTGTCGCGAGCGCTCAACCTTGAGAGTTGACATTCTTCCTGGGCAGCAAGCTGGTGGGAGACGGGCGAAGCCTCTGAAGGGCCCTGGACGAAGCACTCGGGTCACGGTCACCATGCCAACCCGCTGGGACTAGTACACGCATGCTTGGGCAGCAAGTCCTTGGTACCGCTGCTTGCGCAATAGAGGTCATGTAGGGCATGCCAGCCTTTAATGAGACGCTTACCAGACCGTCTATAAATATTTCTGGCTGCGGACTCGGTGTTGATTCTGGCTGTGATCGTCGTCCTGTCTGCGACGTTAAATAATTCCTGAGGAGATGGGGGCTCTCCTTAAATCCCTCCTGATCAGCCAGATCAAACCGGGTGGTAAGGCTCGTTCCGTACGAGGATAAATAAGAGTGGACTGGCTGGCATGTTCGACAATGACTTGGGGCACAGGGGTGGGCCGGATTGCACACCTTCAGACACGCTGCTCAACCAGATGCTCATGAACGTTGACACAAAGAGACCACTCAAGATGGATACAAGGGGAGGGGGGATTCCAGTAACTGTTCACAGTGGCATTCAACTATCAATCTGCCATCCAGTATACATCTCCAGCAGGAGATGTTATTTCTATCTTTGATTAGTTAGTTGTTACAGACTTTGCCGACAACTGACAGACAACTACAGATAGACTAGACTCTTTGCTGTAAGGTGATCTGTATTAGACTAATCTAAAAATAGATGTGATATATCCTGTAGGACCTGACATTAGTTGTGACTATATCACCTATTTGTTTCTGTTCCCGCTGACCAATAATAGTTGTTTATCACAGACGGTTGTGTGTCACGCTAAGGTAGGATTCAGTGTGAGTTCTAGTTTAGATCACACACACCGTAGCTCATGAGTGAAGAAAGTGAGGAGGAGCAAAGGCTAGTGCAACCCATTAGGACCACACGGAGAACCGCTCTTAGTCAACCTTTGACTTTCTTGGTGTTAGGTCCAGGAGAGGAGAGGAGGCTACGAAGGGAAGCTAGGGAGAGGGCAGCGGCGAGGAGGAATAGTGACGCAGCAACCAGTTTAGCGGCTGTGATGGCCAACGCCTCTTCGTCATCGCAGTCCACCTCCCAGTCTACTTCGTTAGGGGCTGGACAGTGTGGAACGGGTGCAATTAGTCAATCTATTGGCTTGCAAGTCAGCCAACAGGCTCTACTTTCACCTGAGGACATAGAGATCCAAAAAGCGGAAGAACTTCAGGATGAGTTACGACGGCAGTTGGACGAAGCATCAGAGAGGAGAAGAAAAACAATCATGAGGAAGGCCAGATTAGAGAGTAGGATGGAGGCACTAGGCAAACTAGAGGACCTAGATGAGGCGATATTAGAGCCTGCTCGACGCGTGCTGCGTAATGCTGTCCTATCTGTAGCAGAAGCGCAGACAGGTCAACAAGAACTGTTGACTGATCTATTGGCAGGGCAGAAACGAATTCTGGATGCACTCCAGGTTCCTCGTCCAGTGATGAGGCGGCCACAATTTGCTGTAGTTCCCCCTTTAGGTGTGGGTCCCTCATCAATGCCGCAACACACAGGGTCAAACTTTCTCTCCTATGTTTGGCATGCCCCCTCCAGGTGGTTTAGCAGCAACTAGTGGTCCGGTTCAAAGAGTCTCAACCGTACCATCGACGACAGTGGTAACTACAGTCCCACTATCAAACCAGGCCCAGGTTAGTGTGCAGCAGCCTGTTT